GAGAGAGAGAGAGAGAGAGAGAGCAAGTATTCTTTCCCTCCATGAACCCTTCAAGCAACTTTCAGTCAAACTAAAGATAGATTATAAGTGATTATCTATGAAAGGATGTAAAATGTGGGGTTGGAAATAATGTTATTGAACTGGTATTTAAATTTAGCTTAGCATTTATAAAGCAATCATAAACTAATACAAACATTTTAGAGCTTGGAAATCATAAGACTCCCTGATGTTAGATGATATCTCTAGTCTTAGGAGCAGATAATCCAGCTCATCAGTTGCTGTTCTGTAGTATCTGATACTGATGGTCCTCATTCCCTTCTACATTTTCAGGCAAGGCGGGCAGCTATCACTTCTGATGGGCTAGAGAATTACACAAGATGATGTTGCAAAAGCCATCACAGTGCAGTCCTAAATAGGGCAGAAGTTGGACAATTTACCTGGAATTAATTTAAAACCAAGCTATTCCAACTAGTGTATGCACCGTTTCAAAAATTCTTGGAAACACTCATCACTTGAAGCTCTTTTAAGTGTTTGATATTTGCTCAGAGGTATAGGAGGTAGAGGCTTCTGCTTCATGCAGGGAAGCCTGTGTTTTCAGGGATGAGTGCTCTATTTACAAAGGCCAAATTGTTTCTGAATTGCTGCCTGTATGACACCATGTTTGCCTCCATGCCACTTCTCCTTAGCAACTCACTGGGCCTGACTGCCTTGAAACTAAGCACCAGGATGAAATTAGGCCTTGATTACAGCTGCGTGAGGATGTGGAGGCATATGGAGTATGCCATTTCAGACCCTTTGGTAAGCTTCAGCATCCCTTTTGACAAGGGATTTCTGCTTTAATTCACTACCTTACACTTACTGCCTGGTAAAATGAATTTTGGTGTATAGCCCACAAAGTTTTATTAGAGTGGGAATGGAGGGTCAGTAAGGTTTTCTAACACAGATTCACAGAACTTGAAGGCAGTCTTGGAGAGATTTGAGTTCATGGACTATGACAACTGAACAAACCACCCTGTCATTCTGAAACTGACCACTTTACTAGTGTTAATTAAAAGTAGACTTGAGATGATAGATTTTTATTTCAGAGTACATTTTATTTATTATAACCTGATCTGATACTTGCTTTTTGGTGCTAGTAAACCTGGATCATTGAGTAAAGACAACTAGCTGCTGATATTTCTTTCTTCACATAAATTAAGGATGACATTTGGGTCACTGGTTTAAGGAATAGTTATAAGAGATTAGAAAAGAGGATCCTTTAGATATACGACTTGATATGGGACACAAGAAATATACACGTTTAAGATGAACCAGCTCATTCTTGGCCTTCATATAATCCATGCCAAGAGTGAAAACAGGGCCCAGGAACTCAAACTCATGTGTCTACTGTGCTCTCTGTCACAACCTCCTAATACTTTAGGTGTTCCATTCTTAGTTCCATCAAGAACGTCAGGAGTATTTCCTCCATGTTTGTTGCCCAATTCTGTATCAGCCACCTTTACATCATGAGCCTTTAGATGAGCTTGCACTCCTATGTAGGTTTGCACCTATTCCAGTAGGTGAAAGCTCAATGCAGGCCAAAGCTACCCATTCCAAATGTCTCTTTATTTGTTTCCTTATTACATGCCCTTCTTTCTGTTTCCCAGACTAAATATTGTCACAGGGTTTATTACACAGAATTTATTTAGGTTTCTACTCTGTTCTTTAAGATATAAGCACTATAAGAAGAAATGTGTTCTATCTTTTCTTTTTCACTGCTATTTACCATTCATATAGAGCATTGTCTGATATGAAGTAGATAATTAATAATCATATTTTTAATGAAATTACTAAAACTAAAAATGATGTTAAAATACATACATAGAAAGTATTGAGCTTACAGTATATTACATAGAGCTTACAAAGAAATATTAAAGTATGATATCTAATATCTAATATAAATACTGCAAGATAACATACAAACTAATACCTATTTCAGTGAACCCATAACCTATGGTATTGAATAATTATAAACTATGAACTTTAAGGAGTCTTCTGTTCCCTAGGCCCTATGAATTTTTTAAAATACATTTCTCTATGCAAGTATTTGAAGAAAGCATAAAGTAGATGAGGCTTTGACATAGATAAGTAAAATAAACAGTATAAAATATAGTCTGAACTGAACTATAAAAGTAATTACTTGACTCATGGGAGGGACTTTAGAGTTATTACAATTTGATGTCCAAAAATCTTGCAGACTCAGGCATCAACCATTTTTATCCTAGTGTATTAAAACTGAATCATTTTTAAGTTGCATGTTTGTAGCCACATGAACTTAATTAGAATCAAGCTAACAAAATCAAGAAAACTATTCATGGCAATTACGTCCATCCATGCCTATTAACCATGAATATACATTTGAATCAACTGCTAAACCAAATATTTGATCCAGGAACTCTCAGGTGAGACCTCAGACTATTCCTGATGAATCCAGTCTCAGTTACACTGATACTGCTGTCATACCATGACCATACGTTGAAACGTGAGGACATGGGCAGAACCAGAGTAAATGGAATCATAGGCAATCATGCAATGGAAGAAATGGACTATAAAATATAAGTCATACCCAAACTGATGGAAAATTTTATAATTTGACAAATGACACCTAAGAGCGTGCTTGAATTAATTTATACTAGTTACATTCAAGAATCACTTTTCTGTACTGCTCAGAAGGCTCTGTGATGTAGGATGTGAGCACAGTGAGGTTACAAATCTTTGCTGCTTCGTCTTGTATGTTCATTATCATGAAATAGCACTTCCTAAGTACCCATAGGGTTCCCTTACAGCACCAGGTATTATACAAAAGAGAATTTAACAGAATCACTTATCTCTTTTCCAAGCTCTGACCAATCAGTCTCCATCCAAGATACTCGTGTGTGAAAGCTGATAATATTTTTATATGACCCTAAGGTCATTTTGAACAACTTCACGAGTCTTGTTAAGGATTTGGAAAGATTTTCGAAGGAAGGTTCTTTGTAAAGCCTTTTATTCAATCTAATCTTTTACCAAATTCCTGCTATGTCATTGAAGATTTAAAGTATTCATAAAG